TATATATAATAATATATATATTAAATATACATATATTTAAAAATATATAGATATATATTTTTAATTTTAGCTATTGCATATGTCTTATTTAATTGTGTATAAATGATTATACCAAACATAAAAAACGTATTTCAAACAAGACAAATATATCATGTATTTAATACGATCAATAATTATATAAATGAGCAAATAAAATATATAAATTTATAAACATTTTTCACATGAAACATGACAATAAAAATCTATATAACCTGTAAATAAATGTAACCTTCACAACTTTATATATATATATATATATGTAAATATATATATATAATTAAATTATCTACAAGAGAGTTGCATACGCAATCAGGATATTGATGTTGAAACTATTTAAATCATATGACAATGTGATAACATTCACTAATCGAAAATCTATCATACTTTTATATCAAAATCGCAATTCTAGTTTACAATATCATTCAGTAGCAGAACAGTAGCAGGTTTCGACCGATCACTAGGTTGAAGCGAGCTCGAGTATACCAAAAGGATGGGTGGACGATGGTTCCCGCAAAAATGTGCGTGTTACCGACATGTGTTATCGACATTGCAAGATAAAAAAGATTTCATTAGTTCCATTGCATGCTGCATATACGTGCGCTTTTTCGTGCCTTCGTAGAAATATTTTTGTTCAGCATTATAAAATTCATTTAATTCATTAACTTTCCACGGTGGAATGCGAACTAAGGTAAATTGTTGGTTGGAATTTCCACCACCAGATGGCAGTGTCTCATCTTTTGTTACCCATCTTATATTATACAGAGCTTTCATTTCTCTTAATATGTGTTCTATGAGTGCGAGCGAAACGGAGCGGCAACGACAACCCGGCAGTGACGGGAACAGTGTCGCGCAGTGCGGTCGATCGATCGTGTTTCGTTTCTCCGGCGAGGAAACGATCAGCGATCTGTCGCTCTTGCCGATTCCCAGCTGGATCGCGTCACTACGTTTTAGAACACGCAAATTCCTCGCGGAATTTATTTTTGGAAAACTCCGGTGGAAAAAGATGTTTTTCATCACTGGCACACGTGTCAGAACACGTTGAACACATTTTTTTCACTCTCAGCCTGTTTCTCAGGCTGTTCGGACTCCCGGCGCCGAAGGACGGCAAGAGTTTTGTAGTAAGTTCAAGCATGCCGACCTTTCGGGAAAATTGGAGGGTCGCGTCCTTCAGCGATTCAGGTTTACTGAACTGGAACGTTTCAAGGACGCGCGATTTTTCCTGAGCGGAGATTTTAAATTCCTTTCATCCGGTCAACCCACTTTGTTTAAATCCGTGGTTTCCTCCCTGCGGAATTAAAATAAACTGAAACATAAATATAACATTCTAACAATCTTAAATTACATTACTACATCCCTAATAATCTTTTTCATCATAAACTCATATTAAGAAAATTAAAATAAAATTAAAATCATTTTCTGTATATCCAAATTATATTTTATATATATATATTTTTTTATAACTTTGTGTTTACTTCATTAGTTTATCAATTTCGGAATTAGCCGTCGCAAGCACGTGTGGCTGACTCGTCGAAATTCACTCGTCGGAACGCAGAATTTCGCGCGAAAAAGGGAGACGGGTAAAAGAAGAAACGGCTATCAATTCAGCATTAGCGCGTTCAGAATTCGCGCTTGGACCTATCGTCCAATATGCTGTGCATAGCTAATGTCATCCGCAAATATGGACCGAAAAATCGTAAGGAGCCAAGTATCGCTTCGAAGTGTTGAAGATATGTGAGGCTTCACTCTAATTCTCTCTCTTTCGCCTGGAGGCGGCGAACAGATCAACAATTTCGCTTTCGCTATTTCACCAATTTATTTTCGAGTGATTACATGTATCTTTATCTTCTGATATGATCCCATGCTCCATGTCGAGATAAATCGCTTTTAGCATAAAGTGGACATGAGTCGAGTCATTGATTGCTAAATACGTGCCGTAGTAACGCAAACGCTATCATGCGAGCAAATCTATGATCGTTTATATGTGAGATATTCAATTTCTCAATCTGAGAAGTGTGCATGCATGTCTCGATTTTACTGTTTCAGCTTCTGTGTCTTCTTTCTCGTCCCTGTACAATAGAAATTTGTCATTAAGTCAAAAATAGCAACCATTGATTACGAAAGCTTATCTGATCTACTGCAGGAAGTACGCATTCCGTTCGAACAATAACAATATTTTATCAAAACAACGATTTTAACGATCGAATTTGATTACAATATTAATGACAGAAACGATAACAATTAATTATTATTGTAAAGCATAAGAAATTAACGTTTTGATTTGATAAAAGCTTAAGAAATGAATTTAATTTCAGATATTACGATACGCATATTGTGAATAACACTATTTAGAACATCATATTCTTATTATTTGATTAATTCCTTAATTATTCAAATTGTCCAATTATTATTAATTTATTCCAATTATTAATTAGATTTTATATAAGATATATTAAATTCCAAGTTATCTCCCCTATCTATCCCGTCACATCCAGATCTTGCTGAATCCTCGTGATACGTCCGTGATATTCGATGTTTCGAAGTTCGCTGTAGAAATCTAAACGATTTGCGATTTTGAAAAATGGCAGAAAAGAAAAGGGACAAGAAGGTGAAAAAGCGGGAGAAAAAACCGGAGACGGTCGTGGATGAGCATCAGTTACGCAGAGACCAGAGGAAGCAGATGAAGATGACCGAGCCCGCAAAGTTGGTACAAGAAGCTGCGATGCCCACGCAGGACAAGCCACAATATTCCGAGGATATTAGAATCGGCGGTATTGAAGGGTGAGTCTCTCCCTTTCTTGTACCCCCTTGTATATAATTAAATAATTTAATTGAATCTTCTCCGGCGCACTCCTGCAACAGAGCAAAATTCTGTTAAACGAACAGTCATCTTTTCAAGATAATCCAAATTTATCTCTGATGATATATAAGTAATTGTAAGTGATTATATATAAGTAAAATAAAATAAATATAAATATAAAAATATAAATATAAAAAGATGAAGATCGTGACGAAAGAATTAGTCGGAAGGAACGGAGACGCGAGATATTAGATTCCACGAAACGTATTAATATCGTGTTTCATTATACTTCGCTTCCCGTTTAAAAATCCGAAAAGTTGAAATGATAACAATCTTGTGAATCATCTCATCACTCTCTCGATCCATTTGATTTTATCTCGAAATATTGAATTATGATGATGGCATACATGATCGATAACTGTTAATTTCAAGAAACTCTACTTGTTGATAATATATGCACATCCATTCCGGATATTTTTTTTTGCATGATGATAACACATTTGCATTTCATTATGTTCTTCGTTTTGTTTTCGCCTTCGCTGTACTACTTATCTTATGGCGGCACAGTTACGCATATTTAAAGCGTTTATTTTTGTCTCTGTTGACAGATTGAAAGAGAAATGCAAATATATAGTGCGAAATAACTCACAAAATTGTTACTGCCTGAGTAATCGTGAAAATTGTTACTCATCGTTGGCTCGTAAAATAGGAGAGACGAGATATGACAAGTGCGCCGCGATTTATTGTATTATACTTGACAATTCAACAAACTGAGAGCTTTCAAAAGCTTTCAACAAAAAAAAAAAATTATATGCCGATTGATATTAAAAAGTACGAAATAAAAATTTCATATCTTGTCGGATGATAACAATTCTGAATCGGCGAATCGATATTACTTTTTCTCTGTTTTTTTCCGACATTTATCATTTTATTATTATATAATTCTTTACTTTAGTATATCTAATTTCTACAATATATCAATACAATATATCTAATAATTTCTATTTGTATGAAAGAGAAAGAGATAGAACATCCAGACACTGATAATAGCAATCAGCGTTCATTTAAGCCGGACTTAACTGACAGGTCACGCATATCTTCCTCTTCTGAGTGGAGAGGGCGATATGTATCTTTGTTAGGAAAATGATCGAGTCATTGAACAGGAGAAAACATAATGACAAAATGATTATGTTAATTGGTCGCGTTATACATGCAGTGATACATGCAAAAAAATTTAGATAGCAACGAAATGCAAAGAATTTAATGAGAAATATACAGTTAAGATTTGCACGATCGTCCAACTTTTTACTCTATAACGTAAACTTGATTTTCAATTAATTAATTTTCAGGGGCGGTACGCACTCGACACTCGTAATACTCGACGGAAAAGGTGCGAGGCTAATAGAAGTTAAAGGACCGAACACTAATCATTGGGTGACTAAGAAAGAAATTATACGAATTGCTTATCTTTAAAGTACTGTGCGAGTTAAGGAATATCGACGATATGATTTTAAACAGGATTTTCAAAACTAAGTCTGCAACACTTTCAAGATAAGCGATTCGAATAATTATAAAAATATTACTGTGCTTGTTGAAAAAACTTACGAGGGAGTATAGAAATTTGGTTTCAGGCAATTGGGATAGATGAGACAGCTGCTAGACTTAGCGCAATGATTGAGAAGGGTAAACAAGAACTAGATATACCAGAAACTGTTCCTTTAGATTGTGTAGTGAGTAGTAATATTTTCATTCTATTATGAATTATGTAACTATAGACTTATAAATACACACAATTAAAAATAATTTTACAACAAACTTACTTGTTAAAATATTAATTCGATTTCGAGGTAAACAATAGCAAACAATCTATTTTGTCCATTTGAAGTTTCGAATGTTGAATGTTAAATGTAGTCAAATTTGAGCTTCAAGAGATAGCATTTACTTAGCGATTTCTTTCATTAATAGGGACTTACTCTAAGTGGTTGCGAAGAGGAAACCACAAATCGTCAACTCATAGAAACTTTGTTACAAAAGTATCCAAATTCTGCCAAGGATTATATAATTAGTTCAGATACTCTTGGCAGCCTCAGAACTGGTTTGCAATCTGGTGGGATCGTGTTGATTGCCGGAACTGGTAGCAATGCTTTGTTGATTAATCCAGACGGAACGACTCATGGCTGCGGGGGATGGGGACACATGATGGGCGACGAAGGAGGAGGTACATATCATTCACTGTAAAGAATATAATATTTTAAATTCAATATCAGCTTCTAAATTAAAAGATTTAAAATAAAAAGAGGTAAATATAGAATAAAAATAAATAACAGAATTAATTTTAAAGTTTTTTAAATCAAATTTGATTTTGAATTGAGTAAAATAAAATTTATAAATAAAATTTTGTTTTCTCGATAACATATACAATAAAAATTTTTCTTTAGAAAAATTTTTTTATTTTAATTTTAAATTTCTTTAACAATTTAATTATATTTTAATTCTTAACGCAAGCTACGATTAATAACTTCTCTTGGAATGTTTCAAGCTTATTGGATTGCCTATCGTGCCTGCAAATATGTATTTGATGATATCGATGGTTTTGTGGAAGCACCCGAACCAATAAGTTATGTATGGCCAGCAATGAGAAATTACTTCAGCGTGACTGATAGAAACGGCATTTTACCATATTTATATGCGAAATTCGACAAGAGTACCATCGCTGGTTTTGCCAAGGAAGTCGCAGATGGCTGTGAGAAGAACGATCCACTGTGCCTGAAAATCTTCGAAGAAGCTGGACAACTTCTGGCAAAGCATATTATCGCCGTTTCAAGAAAGGCGCATAACGTCAGTATTTCAATTTTACGTCAAATAAAACTTCATAATAAAAGGATCTTTTATCATAAAATCGGCATGTCAACAATTTTGCTCAAATCTTTTTTTTTCAGGATCTCAAACTAGCTCACGGTGGCTTGAAAGTGATCTGCGTTGGATCCGTGTGGAAATCATGGAAATTCATGAAAAAGGGTTTTGTGAACGAAATTCACGATAGGCGAGTCGTGGATGAATTGAGTTTGCTACGTTTGACGACAACATCGGCGCTCGGCGCCTGCTATCTCGCTGCAGAGAAAATTGATTGTCCGTTCGTTAAGCCGTATGACAGCAATGTCGAAATCTTTTTCCATTACAAGCGCGATAATTATCCGGAAACGCAAAAGATAGAACATCCAATCGAATTAAAAAATCAGACATCTGTTTGTAACAATGTTCATGAAAACGGGGAGAGTACATGATAAAATGATAAATAAATAAACTTTAAAAACCAAGCTTTTTTTTAATTGACGCTGAAAGTTTATTATAAACATCACGTTGTGAAAGAAAATAAATGGATTATCTGGAATGAATAATTATCAATCGGAAAGATCTAAGTTCCTGATTAAAGCGATTGTGAAAAGTGCAATAGATTTAAATGTACAAATAACAAGCACAAATCTGTAAAATCTGTAAAAATAAAAACAATCAATTTTGTAAAAATTACATCTTTGTAAATATCGATTTAATATGTATATAAATTTTTACAAGATCGAAGGCAATAAAATCTTTTTAAAAATTGCGCTAGTGGAGAGTAATGTATTTTAGCATATCGATATCCCTCAAATTTTGAAAGAAAGATAAACAAGGGAATAAAGAATCGAAGCAATATTTCGTAGCATAATCGAGGATCATGGATTTTGTTTCCTGAGTATAGCATCAAATTTCACAGATAAAAGAATGGGACTGAAAGCTATTTGTAACACGGCATGGGGCTGCCTATGGTGGTTTCTTTGTCTGGCCATTAGAATTATATTGTATTTGCTCCTGTCTATCTTCAGCTTGATATTCTTCGCGGGCTGTATCGGCGCGATAGTAATCCTCATTTTGTACGCTTTTGGTTTCTTAACGTACGAACGCAGATGATTAAGGGACCTGACGACGTGTCGTAATTGGTTGCAAGTGATGTAATGTAATTATCTCATCATAAATTGAATATAAATATGTAATATGAAACAAATCTTGTTTGCGTCTGAAGAAACTTATCGTAAAATTACGTGGCAACATATTTTTGAAAAATATATTTGTATCAGGTTATATTATATCACAATTTATCTTTTTCATTGCAACAACACATACACAAGTACAATATTCTTTTTTTCTCTCATTTACATATATATATATATATATATACTCTGACTAAAGCTGAATTATCACACAATTCACATAGTTAAGTTTGCATTGAAATCTCGTTTTTTTTTAAAAACAAGTTTTTTAACGATATATTTAAAATCTACTTATATATAATATATGAGCACAGGCCTTATCGCATTAAATAACGTTTATTTTTTTAAATTTAACGATCCATATATTAAAAAAATATATATTTACTTATTCTCAAAAAAAAACAGGATTGAAACAGTCATCTGGGAATTATTATGCTGTCATTGTACGCGCATAGTTATTCTCAATACGCAATGAGAATGTGAAATTTAAAAGATATTCTGCTTAATGATATAATATAATTGAAATACTTACAAAGTGAAATATTGCTATTATTAATTACGGCACTTTTATCATATTAACATTACTTAATTAACATTATTTATTTGAAACAATGCGTAAATTGCTCGTTTGATTTGCGGCAAAAACTTCTAAGTTACAACAGACATCGATATCCATTTGTAACAATGTTTATATCTTATACCTACGCAGTTGACTCATGATAATTTTTACGCAGCAAATGCAGTTGCGTCTCAGTTTTATAATGAAATATTTTAAGGAATATGTTCAGAATGAATTTCAATTGGATTTCATTTCTTTTAAAAAGGATAATAGAAATCTAGGAAATAACTGAACAATTTTGATCGGAATTCATTCTGAATAGTTTCATAGTATGTATCCAATATTTTATACTATAATCTTCATTCTATTCGTTTGAAGATATTTAAAAATTTATTACTATACAATGGGTACTTTCGATTTGCTGACATAAGCCGACAGGCTTATTGTTTTGTCCTTGTTACTTAATGTCAAAGAAAATAACACATTTATGTCGATTTATGTCATTAAATAGAAAGCACTCTATATTATGTATATAAGGAGGCAATGCAGTGCAAGTTTACTTATAATTACATAAATATAATATAATCGCATAAATATCATTCATAAATATCGCGTGATTCTGTTGGCTAGTCGAAATATATTGCAGCATAAATGCGTTAATTCAATTTTCTTATTATATGCACAAAATAAAATTTGTAATGTTACAAATTAATGATCAATGTTTTAAATCAAATATTTCTATAAGCAGCGGCTCTACACTGGATGGATTGACATTCAAGTAAACTCCCACAACTTCATCATTTAGTTTATGGAGTTCAGAAATCTTCTGTATTAATTTGAGGAACGTAGACTTAGCTTCGCATCCAGGATAAACACTCTCCAGATATCGTCTAAGGAGATAATAGTATGAATTCTGGAAGAAAGAAATCAATAAAAAATATAAACCAATTCTCTTTCTCTCTCAGTTTGTTTTAATCTCAAACATGAAAAATAAGAAATTGTTAAGAAAAGATGTTAAAAATTGACTTTCATATTATTACTTTCATATTATTTTATTGTATGTGTATGCGTGTGTACGTGCGTGCGTGTGTTTATTTTAATATATAATATCTTAATAACAGTTATTTAAAAATTATGATATTGATATAAATATTATACTATATTATGATATAAATAAGAAGATTATGCAATTATTCGGGATTCTCAAAGATTTACTTTACCTGCTCTAATTTAATAACATCACCATGCACAACTCTCGGTCTATCTGGAGTAAACAGAGCGATTGCGCTTAAAATCAAAATGATATTTTCATCTCGCCACCGGGGATCAAATGTTCTGACAAATCTCGCATGTTCCGCGTATAAATTGCCTTTTGCTTCCTTCAAAACGTCGACTTTAATATTTGACATGCTTTCTTGGCTATGAGGTATCTTCCACATATCTTTATCAGGATCGTAATTAATGGCTGATCTTAAAATCATCATTTCTGTACAGCCGCCTTTCAACAAAGCTAACTGATCTTCTTGACACATATTCTTGAAGGCGTTTATTTTCTTTGACATCTTTATCAAGCGTCTAATGGCTATGGCTGTTAAATTTATAACGTCTAGCAACATTGGATCAGATTGCCCAAAATTATTCTAAAAGTAGATATTTTGGACCTGTTATGTTCACTTTCCTTAAATATACTATACAAGATATATAATGTCAAGAGCACTACCTTGAATTTGCATTCTTCACCAACCAAGTTCGTTATGTCATCATCTAATGGAGCTAATAATGCTTTGTTAGCAACTATCAACTCGTTCAATTTCGCTCTTTCGGCATCATTTAATTCTCTACTGCTTTGGTTACCACCAAAACTAGAAAATGCTGAATATTCTAACTTGATGGCTTCACATAAGATAGATTCTATAGAGTTAGCAGCAATAGGTATCCTGAAATAATTAGATAATTATTTCAAAATTACATAATTTCAAGCAGCAGTTTTCATAATATAATATTTGACGCATCGAACTACCTTTGTACGTCCTGAAGAACGTCCCTAGTAACATCGGCTGTATTTTTGTTCCAATCCGTATTTGTATTAGATTCCAAATTTTGATTTTTGCCTTCCTCCGCATTACGATTCGTAATTAGATCCGTCAGGATTGGATTTTCCACGTGACTTCCTTTAGCTTTCGGCACATGCCTAACGGTATTATCGCTCAAGCTATCACTATTTATCGGAATTGAGCTACCTTCTTTCGGCTGACCTTTCGTTTTGATATCACGGTCGCGCTCGGTAATCGTTGTATCAATTGCGTCGTGTTCCTCCAAGAATTGTGTTATATGCGGATCTGCCGCCAAACATGTAACCATATCAGGATCGGTCATAATCTTCATTATTACTCTCCGATCCTGAAATATCTTTGCTACTAAATTTGGATTATTGACAAACTTCGTGAGCAAACCAGGATCTTGCTTAAACTTGACGATTAAATTATTTCCGCTCGAGCACGTTTCCTTCGGCTTCTGGCATATCGATGCCTCATCCTTCGCGAGTTGCATATGCGGCGAATTCGGAGTAGATCGACTTGCTCCACTGTATGATGCTAGCGAATTATCGTATACGGGAGAATTCTGTTCGCGAGTTTGATCAAATTTGGAGTAGCTATGCACGTTTTCTTCGAATGCAGAGCTGTACCTCGACGATTCGCGGTTAACATCTACAAATTCTGAACTTAACTGCCGCGGATTCTGCTCATATTTCCCCGAATTCGAAGGAGAGTTCTTGTCCATCCCTACATTCTGAGACGACATGTTGAAATCCGTGAACCTTGTACGGCTGTAATCAGAAAAATTTCTATTTAATACTTATTAATTTCATTTCTGCGTTATTTTTTTGTATACTTTGGAAATATGTGTCGATGCGTATAGGAAGATTAGAGACTTTAAAGCTGATTGTCGGATTTATAAAAATGTGATCGATTAATTTGGAATTTACAAGAGCGATTCGTCACGGTGCGTCTTAACTAGTCTGTGTCTCGAGATCGAATGTGTGACTTTTTTCTCACAAGAACGGTTATCCGGATAACATTTCTCTTCGAGATATTTCATTTTTTTACGAGCGTTAAAGTATTTTTCACCTGTTATACTTTTCACATGTTATTGTTCTAGACTTCGTTTAATCGACAATTTAAATGTTTCGGATTATTATCAAAGTTACGAATTATTTTATTCCCCAATTGTCAGTATCAATTAAACCTATCTATTTTGCATGCCGAGACAATCGGGAGGATGTACACAATCATTCTCTCAGCGCGAAATGATTAAGAGAGAAAGTCTCTCTCTGTTTAGAAAAAGCAGAAACAGTCATTATATTTGTCCGCCAATTCCGCGTAAATACCTAACGGCGCCGTGCTCAGCTATGTGTGCACGTGTACCTATCTAATCACATCGCGTATTCGGCTTTAAGAGCCGTGGCGATATATTCGCCATAATACTAATGAGTCAATCGTACCTGGCGAGATTAGATCTTGAACCATGAACGGATTCCTTCAGCATATCCAACGTCTTCGTTTCAGCGATGTTCGTGTTTTCCGGCGGACTCGAAGGACTCGGTACGCTCACCGCTGTCACCGGACTCATACTTTCGACAGTGTTCTGCTTGTTGCCGTCCAAGTCTGTATATTTTCTGTTAGACTCCCAAAAATACGTCTCTGACATCGTCGAGCCGGCCAAATTGATCGACATCGACGTATCCTCGAACGTATAGTCATCCATGCAATCTTTTTTGATCTTCGACGTTTTGTCATTCTCGGTCTGTGATCGTTTTTTCGCACGATTTTTTTCGATTTTTTTACGCTTCAATACTTTATCCTCCTCGGACATTATGTATTCCTTGCGCATACCAATACTGAAGCATTTGTCCAGGCGACATTTTTGGCAAAAACGTCTGGTTATAGGTGAGATGTTACAATTTTCCGTAAACGGACATCTAAAATCCTGTAACAAGAATATTTCTGCTTTAGTTTAATATGAGAAAAAAAGTCTAATATGCAATTTTATTTAGTAATATAACAAAATTGTAAATTTCAAAAAATATACTGTAAACAAGGGAGCTTTATTTATTTCCCCATATAAATTAAAATAATCTTCTGTTAAACGGAAATCGTTCAAATATGCAAAGACACAACAGTATCTAGAAAAAAAAAAAAAAAAAACAATCTTATCTGGTGTCTCAACAGTCCACCGTCAATAAATTTTAATGCACAGATGCCGCTCTAAACCTTAATAATTGCATCTTTTGTATACATTCATTATTAATCTTTTGGGGGGTCAAAGGAGATGTTTCAATCTGTGCATGTTTATCGTCACATAAAAATGTTATATATAAGGTAATTGTTCTAGTCCTAAGTCATTTAAGGTTGTTAACTACATTTCTTTTTATATATTAAAAAATATAAAAATATAAAAATATATAAAAAATATATTAAAAAATGTACATTTTGTACAATGATATTCTAAACTTTAACTATCACATTTTACTGGAAAAAAACAACTTTTAGTGATATAAAAAATAATTATTTAAATTTTAATAAATGTGCACTGATGGCAATAATAAAACTCAATCTTCTTATTTCAACATTATATATAAATGTAAAACAGTAATAATGTAAAACAGTATATTTCTTATTTTGCAAAAAAATACAAATTTATTCACTTAACAAATACATATATTCCTTCTTATTAATGATATTTACGCTGAAAATTAAACAATAAACATTGCAGTTAACAATTTTTCTTTTAAATGTTTTAGCAATATTATAATTAAACAAAAGATGAGATATCTTACTAATAAATGGTGTGATTATATGTATAATAATATCGTGTTTGTTTTAAATATGTTTAATTATTTAATATAATAAAAAAAACATGACTTATTGCTGAGACATGACTTATAACTGAAACAATTACTTTAATATAAATATATTAAAACATGAAAGACTCAACTTTAATCTGAATCTAATAATTGCAAAGTTTCTCTTAAAAAAAACATCTTCAAAACAATTAAATTATCAAAATAAGATTTCAGCTTCAGAATGATGCAATTTATCCTAATAAATCTGAAAAAAGTAAAGTTAAATAAAAAATGTTTTAATATTAAGATTAATTTTAAATGTTGTAATATTAATCTTTCTGAATTTTTCAAAAATAATCTAAAATAAATGATGCGGTCAGCAACATAATCTATTTTTTTTCGTAAACTTAAAGTTCAAAGCATCAGTTTCTAATGAGTCATAGATTCACTACATAATTAAATGATTCAGCAATGGTAATCTATAATTCATAACATTAAAAATGAAATTCAAATTTAAGAAAGAACTTTGTATCAACACTAAAAGAAAAAATTAATTTTTAAAGGAAACTGCAACAAGTGCAGTCCTCAAGAATTTGAAATTTTCCACGAGACTGATATATCCTCTCGAATTCTCCCAGGAAGCGAGGTAACCAGCTAGAAACTTGAAATCGGAGGTAAATTCACCTTGTTCTTGAGCGCGTTTCTCCTGAAGAAGGCCTTGCAGCTCTCGCAGGAGACGGCGTTGAAGTTATAGCCGAGCGCCCGGTCGCCGCAGACTCCGCAGATCTTGTTGGCCTCCCTCGCCGGCTGTTCATCGTCCATTGCTCCTGGGGCGGCGTTCTCGCGAGCGGCGATTAGCACGTTTTTATCTACCGGATGGGAAGCAACATCGTTCTCCAATCTCTCTTTCCTTCGCGCCTTCTCCTGCTTTCCCCCCCTCTCTTTCTCTCCACCTTTCGAGATCCTCCGCGCGACGAATTGCGTTGTCGCCCGCGAAGCGTCGTTGACTCACGTCAACATTGTTTATCACGCGGTGTCCACCGTCAGGCCAGATCGCGACTGTTTATCATTCGCGTGACAGCCACCTCGTCTCGTACTCCTCACGCCGCGCGCCGTCCAACGCCCAATGTGATTTGGATCCGAACCTACAAAAGCTCCTTAAGTGATCGTGCCGATTGAGGCACTCAATTGACGGCACCACTTGTCAACAGTTAACGAGGCGGTACGCACAAATCTGTCGTACGATCCGTTCATTCCGCTGTCCCTCTCTCTCTCTCTTTCTCGCCCATGCCCTCCCAGTCCTCCCACTGTTTCGCGCCTTCGTCATCCCGTTGTACCACGACACCGCGAATGCATTCCCGAAATGTAACTAGGCCTCGCCCACGTGACAAATTACGCCACATCTCACGCATCCCGCGGTTGTTTCAAATTTGTTTCACGAAGCTAGAAATTAACTCTAGAAATTAATCTACAAAAACATTTGATCTCTTCTTTCCAACAAAAGCGGTCATTCATCAGAGTTGTGTTTAGCTCTCTTTCTAATAGATTTTTCAGAAATGCGTTATTATTTTGCGAAAGTTATTATATTGAGGTTGGCTGAAGATTAAAGATTTTCATTAAAATTCATTGTTGATTACTTTAATTAAAATTAAGTCGTAACTGATTCTAGTTTACGCGACAGTAAACAGATATAATATCAACAACACGCCCCGTTATATTGTCAAACAAAGATTACATATTAGCAAATAAGATTTGGCGCTCGAATTCGACCGGGAAAAGTTTTCATTATCTTGTTAGAAATTTTCAAATAAAAAATATACCTTATATCTCCGATTTATTTACTGCAAACGTTCTTCTCCTTCAAGATTAGCGAGTCCTTAAGTGATCTTGCTAAATATATCGGCTCCGAAATTAATGCGACGAATGTTCGATTCTACTTCCATCAATTAGCTTGGCTCAAAGTTCACGGACACGCACACGCGTAGATGACACAATCGGATAAGATGAGATACATACACATTGCGTGACGCGAGTTTACGTCGTCCGATTGCCAGGACGATTCCTCATAAGTGAACAGAGATCGAATCTGTTGCGTTACTGACGAAGGCCGCGTAATGACGGTCACGACTTTCGTTTATCAAGACGCCCGGTGGCTTCATCAATGTTATCGTTATCGGTCGCATTCCCGTCGATAATCACGAAACGCAGACGTATGCGTGCATGATTCACAGTTACAAAATTGAAGCGCGTTAGTCGTGAACGGGGCGAGGAAGAGGACGACAGAAGAAAACATAGTTTCGGAAGAGAGTGATAGGATGTACAATATTGCGTATTTCATTCATGGATGTGCAAACATGTATGAAGAAACTTTGTAGTTTTCTACAAGAAAGATTTAATAAAGATTTGATCTTTATACGTCATCACATCGGCCTCTTGAAAGCTAAAAGATAGCTCATGTGCGCATGAATGATTGATCATCAGACATTCCCATATCGCAAATCAAACGAGTGGCACGAATGGCAACGTGGATGAAAATATAACAATTCTGATAAAAAAGTAACAATATAATTTTTCCGCCTTTATAAAACACAGAAAATTTGTTCTACAAAACTATTCTTTTAGATCTTTTACATATAAATCGAGCATAAATATATCCTGTTATAAAAGATTGATATATATATATATATATATATATATATATATATATATATATATATATATATATGTATACATTTTCCATAAGAGATCTGTTGCTCAATATAATTGAGCTCACTTACGTCATTTTATCGAAGGCACACAGAATTGCCGAGATGAATCTTAAACGAGTAAGTCGTAATAAAGAGAACTTGTTGAATTGTTAGAATAATATTAAAATAGTAATGATGTCTTGTGCAATGTGATTGATCACGAATTGATTGATTCCAAATATACGAAGACTAATAAATAAATTGTTCTTCATTATCCCGCTGATTATCTTTTCGTATTAGTTCTTCGTATTATCGTAGTGTTTAATAAGAATGTTTACTCGGCAGTGTTTAAATACGTCGTATATAACTCTTATATACAGCTAGATTATAGATAAAGATCTTTTTTCCCGTTTAAAGCGTATATAACAGACTAAAATCACTTTGGTGGAGTATCAGTCAATCTCGTACTTCCAACTAGCACGCCGTTGCTGTAGAGCATCAATTCCTCCTTCATATAAAAAGGCACAATCTCTTCCACCGTTGAGAAAGATATCTCATTCACTTTTGGAAAGCCCAACGCGTATCTAAAAAGTTGAACAAATATCCTACATCCAATTCTTTGTAATTTATTATAATAAATAAAAAATTATTTTGTTTGTATTGTTTGTATACGAAACTGATTTTTCTACTATTTTCTTTTGTTAGCAAGAAAAAAAATGTTTAAAAGTATTTTAATTTTTCAACTATATAAAATGTTGGTCCCAAGAGTTTTTCCAATCATTTTATTCAATCATATTATTAATATAATCTTTCATATAATAAATATTAAGATCTCAAGTTAATTAAATTTAATAAGCAAAATGTATACCTGTTGTCATTTCTTTTTCTAACCGGAACATTGAAAACTCTCTCTCTGTACCAAAGGACCAAAGTAAAGGGATTACCGGGTTTTGTCGTCGATGGTCTTAAAAGAAATATCCATCTTGCGGATTATTATAAGTACCTTCTGAAAATATATAATTCAGTTACTATTAAATTATGAATTCTATGTATATATTATGTAACTATATATATATATATATATATTATTCTTATATTTTTAAAATTAAAAAAAAATAAAACATATATTGGAAAGATATTTCTATCTCTATGATACTCATATATTATTTTATATTATTCATGTAATCTGCAATTTTAAAGTAAATGACAATTCAATTCTTGCTCATTATTATAAACAACTAGAAATTACTTTAGAAGATCAGGACGAGGGATGATTTGAATGATTCTTCAGGAAAATTTACAAATTTTTCTTTGCAAAATTTAATATAAAAATATAGTAAAATATAATAAAAAGACTAATAGATACATACGTTCTGTAATAAGAGTAATTGCTTGCTCCCTTGTGATATTATGATACCAAGGTTTGTCCACATAAGATTGCCTCTCAGGCGGCGGGGGTAGTGGTCGCGTGGCTCTTTCAGTCGATAGCGAAGTATTACTGCCAGTATGAGACAATGTCGCTGATTTCTTATCTGGTGATCGTTCTACAAATATATAAAAAAATCAAGATCAATATGGTGAAATAATATGTATTAGCTTTTACAATTTTTACAATAATTATAACCGTATATAATAAATTTTTATATTCATAGAATAAATACATAACTTCAACTAAATGTGTGTATGTATATGTGTGTATAATATTTTGTGTATATATAACACATTTATCAAAGAAACAAATACATTTACGATACATGTATAATAAATACATTTGTTGCATATATATTTAAATCTTTTATAAAATACACATATGTCGATCATGATACGAACTTGCTAAGTTAAGTCGGGCCTGCGTAAGAGTCGCTTGTGTTAAACACTCAGAGAGACTTGTTTGCCGACGTATAGCCGTGTTAAGCGTATTTCGCTTTGTATCGCTGATTATAGTTGCCATTATTGTGAATTCGTCACGTATTTGTTGGCGAATCGCTTAGACGTCTATCAAAAATATTTTATGTTGATTTCTCTATCATCTACTGTATGATAAACATTTTCGATTGTAGTTAAATTGTTAAAACACTCAAAGATAATATAACATCTCGTAATGAAATGCATTTAATTTTATATAGCTCGTTATTAACAACGATTTAGAATGAATTTTTGTTACGTAATAGTTATATTATAAACACATTCGCCTTTTTTTTTTCACATGAATCTACTTGTTTTTAAATGTAACCGAGGCTAAAGAATGCGCCCGATACGATCGTCGCAGTAATCACGACGAAACTGAGATTTAACTCTTGAGCAAGTCTTTTAAAGCATCGTGAAAAAGAAGAATAGTAGTCAATCCGTTGGTCTCTCGGTATGGGACATAGACACATCCGAAATACGTTTAAGAATAACTTCCGTAAATCAGATCGGGAGAATTGACGACTGTACATAGTAAGTCGTAGAACAAAGAAGATATCTTTCCTTTTAAAAATAACATGGAAATTCCAATAATCTAAAGTACTCATTGTAAATTATTTACTTAAATAGATAATAATAATAATTATTTACTTAAATAGATAATTCAGACACACGATCGAGGCTTTTAACTTCGATTAATCTTTTTAATTTTTGTATTTATTAAATAAATTCAAGAAAATGATTTTTAGTCTTTGTTACAAAAATTAATAAATAAAAAAATTAAAAAGATTAATGCGCGCTAAAAATTCTATCCGACCTTGTAATATCTGAATTCTATCTATTTTTTGTTGATCTAGTAGTCTACACATACTTAGTTGTACATTTACTAGAAAGTTTACCTTGGTAGGAAGCGAAAAACATGAATCTAAAAATTAACAATATAAATACTGGTCAAAACAATCAACGAAAAAGAATAGATCGTGTTTTCCTTGATAAACATATATCGACAAAATTTCTTGAAAATATTTAGATTTTATAAATTAGATTGAACATGAATAATGTAAAACTCACATATTTCGAAATGTTTTTGCAGTTATCAATTTTAACGTCAATTTACCGCAGACATCGCAGTGATATTTCGCAAACATAAATTATATTACGACGTCGGGAATTACTTCATAACAATAAAGATACACAATCAGTATAACTAAATTACTAGCTACTAAACATTTTATATTACACGATATTTTATCGAAAATTTTATCGATACAAAAGCGAAAGATTAACTTCCAAAATCTATTTTTGTTCGTTGTCAAAGTTCAATGACCTTTGACGAGTGAAAAGCGAGCAGATATTCCATTAGCGCAATATTCTCACGTTGTAACACGATCGCATGCCGTATTGAAGCAAACGCAAATATGTCGTGGAACAATGCGTTGTTTAATCGTTCCGTGTACCTGGCAGCTCAGGTGGTTGCGAATAACAACACGTAGACAGGCCTCTTTTGATTCGTACTATCATATCGGCGACCTCATCGGCCAGACGCGTGCCCAGGCCTCCTAGGAGCTGTTTGCTCAGCCGCAGATAAAAACAGGAACACATTCCATCACCCAATGTTTCTCTCTCGAGTCTCTTATCGGATCCTTCCACACGCGGGTGACTTATCGCAGTTCTTGGCACGCACGTCGCTCAATGTATGAATTAGAACGATTAGAAACAACATTCGCTACAGTGTTTCATCTTGTTCTCTCTTGCGATTTGTTATTTTCTTTTTTTTTTTTCAAAGAATTCACGGTACACGTGTATTGTTATAGCGATCGAAAACACGATATAGTTTCTTCGACACGAGACTCCTGATAAAGTCTATTCAATGTTTCGCACTATAGTCTCAAGTCAAAAACGACGATTTATCTCACTGATCCCACACAAGGTCTGAGATCTTTTATTCATACCGAAGGTCGAAGGTCCCACTTTGATTTCCGCATACAAAAAATAATGCGCTCTACAAATAATTACGATGACGACGTCGACATACCGCGGCGAAGGCAAAACACTGTTCTGTGTTGTTTAGTTAGAAGGCAAAGGAGGAATGGTTTGTACGAATCTGACATCAATGTCGGTGGCCAATACACGACTAGCCAGAGATGGTTATGTGCATCATGTGAGAATTAACAATAAGCAACATTTGTCAAACATATGTTCAGTTCTTACGAGTGATCCTGCCCTCGTCTCTCGTCTCGGCATCTTACACTTTTTCCCATTCACTAAAATACACAGTATGTTTCGCAACGTCTCATTATTTCGTCTAATATTCCATTAATTAATCACGTTCGCGTAGAATAGTTTGTATGTAATTGCTCCTCGCATGAGTTGAACGTATAAAAATAACAAATAAAAACAGAATTTTCCAATCGGTCTTAAGATTCAATCAATATTTGCAAAAATCTAATCTAATGGATCATTTGTCAGATTCATTGGATTCTTGGAAGAAAGAAAAATAAATATCTATAATTCTGCTTATAATCTGATTTCATCTATAATAATTTTAACAAAGTAAGATTAAACGCTATCATTATTAAAATTAAAATATATTAAAAAATATATTAAAAAATAATAATCTACCTATAAAAATAATTTAATATTCTTAAAATTATATCCTTATATTATTTTATATTGTATAAAATAATGACAAAGAATACATTTACCTTTGGATTTCTCCGATCTAATTCTACTGGGAACAGTCGAAGGTAGGGGAGATGATGACGGTTTGGCGGGTAAAGGAGGTGGTTCTTGTTGCACATTGTTTGTCCTTTGAATGGGGCTCAAGTAATAATTATCTTCCGGCTAACGAAATATAACAGTATTGTAAATAATTCAAAAAGTTTCGTGATTATACTTCCAAAGTGATCGATACTCACTATTTCAGTGATAGACTCATAAATTTCATAATCCTCCTCCTCTTCTTCTTCATAACTCGTAGCACTGGATGGTTTGTAAACGCTTTCAACTGATCCCTGGCGACCACTATGTAACGACTGCTTGTTATCAACCCGCGAAATTTCGTTCCTCTGCTCCATTTGTTCCATGATGTTCTCATCGAGCGGCTCGTACTCGTCTTCGCTTTCTTCTGTGCGTGCAGGTAAATTTGCTACGAGATCGAAATTCCTTAAGATAACCGGTGGTTGTTTCGATGACTCTATATCGGATATTTTTTTGGTTTCTGCAGACGTGTAATTCTTGTTCTTTTTAGGTTCCGGTGGTGGTGGTGGCACACCCATTTTTCCTGGAGATATATTTCATCATAATATCCACTCTGATGCTTTAATTGTTTCGATATAAAGAAACGTATTAATATGATATTAATAGGTCTGTTCGTTTTCGAAGAACTTCTGAATTAGCACAACTTTGATAGCCAAGCCTGCAGAGAAATTTTTAGCAGAGTATGAATTTCTGAAGGCAGAAGGGTAATAAATTTCAAACAGGATCTGTAATTGACATGATTAGTAGCAGATTTCCAATGTCTAGATATATTCTACAGATCTTTCCAATAGAATCTAAACTGAATGCAGTAGATGTCAACTTGCTAATATATTCTGATCGAATCTGCTAACAATCTGCCGATATATTGCTAATATTTTTTTTATTGGGAAGTTAGAGTGATAGAAAGTATATTTGTTTGATTCTAGCTTATCGCATTAGGTCGAAAGTTTTTCGAAAACAAACAGATTTAATATCACACTATTATTTATTGTTATAAAAAAAATCAAGATCTCTACCGAAAGAATCAACTTGCAAACGTGATATGTTACAGTAACTTTGTGTAAACTAACTTTGTGTTTTGCCTTGTTGATTAAGAACTCGTTGGTTCATCTTCGACGCATTGTGCAAAAAAGATTTCTGCGGAAATTTCTTATCAGATATTGTCATCGGAATTCTTTTCGGCGGCATAATCTCTGGTTTCGGACCGACCGCGGGTTTCTTCTCTGGATTTCTTCGCTTCAGTTCATCCTTCAATTTCTCGGCTAAGGACTTGTCCAACTGGTACAACATCGAAACGTTCCTCGGAGGCGATGATTTTGTTTCCTGAAAATTAGCGTACATATTCTCCTCCTCGTCCTGGGAGGATTTACAATTGGCGTAGGTTTCTTCCGCCTCCGGTTTTATTATTTTCTTCAATGGCAATTGCATTGCTATTTTATCAATTGGTATTCTATTTTTCTGCAGAAATGCCTGCTTGTTCTTGATCATACTTGGCTTTACGATTTCCTGTGAATCTTCAGTAGAATTATTTTCTTCAACCGTTTCATCATCGAAATCGGTTCCCCAGGAACCGCTGTCGCTCAAATGATCATCGTTTTGTTGCGTTTCTACAGTCTTGTCTGGCAGATATTTTTCTGGAGACTTGTTCAATTCTTGCACGAATGCCCATAATTTTCTGCGCCAAATTTAATCAGTATTAATCATTGACAAAAAAATGTTTTACAGCAAAATATGGATGTTCGTGTAAAAGAAATTGTGCTAAACAATGAGAAACAGTGCGAAACGCTAAATCAACGCGAATGTGGAGTGGAATGATCGAATACGACCCACGCGTATGCATTTATGCACGACTCATCAAATAATTATCCAATCGCGCGAAACACATTCTCGCAAGCAAGCAGTATCTTTCTAGAATGAGAAAAAGTTTGCCACGTGGCGCATTCCTCACTCGCATCGTACAAACCATAGACTTTGTACTACCTGAAAATTATCTTATCTGTCTCCGAGATAAATTTTAAAATCTTTAAGAAACATGTAAAAAATGAGGCAATATATTAATTATATATTGTGCATTTAATTTTTAAAAAATGTACCTAATCCGATTACGCTTTACGCTTATCCTCCCTGAATGCGTAAATGCTTGTAAACGGCACGTGAATGCGGATGAGCTGCTCGCATACTGAATAATCAGATACCGTTAAGAGAGAACGCGTTATGAGAGAAGATCGCGAGACACAATTCCGCGAAGGAGGGAAAAAGAGCAAAGGGAGCGACGCGATGCGGGAAGAAATAAAGCTGGATTTCGCTCTCTCACCCTATCAGTGGACGCGTGAGGTCACTCTTCCAGAAAGCCAGCGTCCCATCCGTCAAGTGCTGGAATAATTACAATTAATTAAGGCTCCGTTAGAAGAAGCGTAGTCGTCGACCGCGCCGTCGTCGACCGCGTCTCGAAATATTGCTGTTGCAATCGGAAAAAAAAACACAGTGTTATCGTTCAAGAGGAAGATAATGCCCGTCTGGCTACGTGTCTCTCTAATTACCACTGTGTCAGCTATTTCGAAAACCTATTGAGTCGAGGAGAGAACAATTTCAAATGAATAAAAAAATTCACGCTTCTTATAATCGCGCTCGAGAATCATCGCACGCATTCACATTATAGTAGATTCTGTAAAAAAGAGGCAAATACGGCGATTAAAAAAGGCAATTGTGCAAAAAGATGTGCGTGTAGCTACAAATCAGAAATTTTTTTACTAAAAATCAAGACTAATAGAAATCTTATTAAACGTGAACTATTTTGAGGTTCTTCAGACGTTCCGTTTTTTAAGACACCCTGTACACTCGATTCAGGGGTCATCGGCAAGAACAGCAGCCAGGTTTCGTGGGTTGACGGACGAGACGAAAATCGGGAAATTGTTCTCTCAGAATAGCCATGCTCCATATAACAATAACTCACTCACCAGCAACCCATCGCCGTCGATCTGCCGTTTCGCCACAGCGTTGCAACATTCCTCTAGTCCGTTCTGCAAAAAGGGGAAATACTTTCAGGCAGGATGTATAGCATTGATAAGAAGCATATTCATATATATATATCAAATTGATATCTTCCACGCGAAAATATAATTGATAAAAAAAATAACGAGAAGGAAATGAAGAATCAAGGAAACGATGTGATAATAATAACGAAGTAAAGAATATCTTTATACATTGTGTAATCCGTTTTAATTATTTATCTAATATACTTAGATAAGTATATTAGATAGAAAAAAATCAGGAAAATTACATGTATCTTATCTTATTTAATTTGAACATGTATGATTGTAATTGTAATTTCCCTGATTTTTCTCTCCTTTGTTTCTTGGATTCTGTATTCCTATTAAACTGTCAGGATCATGTCGGAAAAACTAATCTATAAAGCACAAATCTCCCAGGAATGTTCTAGAAACGCCCAGAGAGCATCCTAAGAAGACGTTTGCCTAAAGGCATTTCCGAGACGTCCCTCACATATGGAAATTGCCTAGTCCAGAAAATTCTTTCTCTAAATTATTCTCTTTCTAAAAATTATTCTCTCTGATTTGTATTCATATTTATTAATCTCTCAGTCGTACGGAACGTTGATTGCGAGAAAGAAATCTGGGCCGAGGAATATTCTCTTCCGTGACTCACAGTGAAGTCCGAGGGAAGTGAAGTTGCGGCGAGGAAATGACGATCGTTTCCTTAAACCGACACCGTTTAAACGGCATTACTGTGGAACGCGTGAAAGCTGCGAGCGATCGAGATCGCGCGCGAAGAAATGCAAAGTACGTATCCCTTTCGCCTCGCCTCGCCTCGCTTTCGAGACGAGAATCCACAATCGACGTTTCTGGCAAAGTTTTCTCGACGCACGTGGTCGGCAACGTTTCTTAAATTCTATTTCTTAAAAAAAAAAAAAAACGAGCTATTTCTCGGCGACACTCGAGAATAACGCAGAATTCATCAGTTCAATAGTTCATCTCGTCAGTATCTCGTCAATTTAAATTTTTTTCATTATCCTTCGCGCATAAAGTAATTATTTGTAAACAAGTAGAGAGAAGAGCGCAGAAAAGCCGCGCGCGAGAGAAGAAGCCGACAAAGGTCGGTAACCCGACGCCGATCATTGGAAAATCGTCGGGGAATCCACCCGCGCCTCCTCTCCGGCGGTGATTTTCTCCTCCCTACAAATCGCGTTATAAATAAACGTATTTACCGTCAGCGCGCACGTGCGCCTCGCATTTTTTTCTATCATTCTCTTTTCCTCGCGTGTCGCGCTACTCCGTGACGTTGTCCCGATCGTGTCGCGCCTTAGCAGTCGGTGGCCGTCACGAAGTTGCACCTATTTGCACTCCGCCGTCATCCGTGCGCGACGTCCGGGCGGTACGAAGCGGCACGCGATCGCGGCAAACTTCACTCACCTTGCGCAACAGATACAGCACGCCTTCCGTGTCCCAGGCGGAGATGTCGTTGAGGGCATCATCTCGCGACGGCTTCTTGGACATCGCGAGCCGCCGCGCGCGCGTACGAAGGAACAAAAAAAAACACAAATAATTCTCACACGCACACGTTCGCCGTTCGGCGGCGTCTGCATTGGCTTTTTGCGACCGCGCGATCGTCTGACAGGTCTTCCCCTCTCCTTTTCCTATCCGTTTTCTACTCCGTTCTCCAACTCGCGCATCGCCGTCTCGCTCTCGTCGCTGGCCACTCGCGTGATTGGTCAGCTTTTCGTGGCGCACCTGCGTTTCGTCTGACCTGTCTCGCGCGAGGGAGTTATGATCAGTTTCAAGGGGTCGATTGTGTATTTTGAAACGAAATGAAAATTATAAAAATGAGGAAATTCCAATATTAGAGGAAATTAGAATATCTTACTTCATATGCCGAAAGCTAGTAAATTTCCTCATTTTTGTAATTTTCATCTTGCTTCAAGATAATCGACTCTCTGGATATTTCATGTGTCGTATAACAAATTTTTTGAATGTACTTGTTTTGATTATATTGGAAGTATTGATTATGTAATAATGATTATAAAATTTTTGGAGACTTGGAAAACTATTTTATAGTCAATCAACACATTCAAAAGATTTGTTATATGCGATGACCTATATATTTTCTTTGAAAAAATAAAGTCTGAAAATTGTAGAGCTTTATTCCTACGTGTTTCCAAGTTATTTATAATTATCAGAAATCTGTACATTACAAAATTTTTTTGCATACATTGAGAAAAAAATTTCTTTAGATTTAGCAATTCTATTTGTTTGACTTGAATTTATTTAATTTAATTTAAACATAATTTTATATTAAATATTGTTTTGTTGAATTAAGAGTTTTATTATTTCGTTAGAGTATATTATATTGTTTAATAGAAAAAAGCACTATTATTAAAAAAAAATAAAATTTATCTTTGAATTAAATAATATTTTGTTTGGTCAAATTAAATATTGTTTCAAAGAAAGAAATTCTTTAATATTGTTGAAGCATATAAGAACGTTATTTTTTTCAAACAATTTATTAAACAAATATTTTATTTAAAATAAAGCTATTCATTATTTGAAAAATCAAACAATCGAATTTGTTGAATCAACAATTGGTTTGTTTGGATTATTTGAAAAAATTTCTTTGAATTTAATAAAATTTATTAAATTCAAAGAAATCGTTCTCTCTGTATAATATATCAAATGAGAAGACTGTGTAATCTTCTGACAGTTTTAAACTAATTCGACTGTTGGAACCATAGATATGGAATAAAAACAGATCTAATAAATGCAGAATCTTAATTTAAAAAAATTAAAATACAAAAAATTTTATATACATATATATATATATATATATATATATATATATATTTTATATATTTTCTTTTAAAAATTTATTCATTAGTATGTCATTATAGACATTAAAACTTTAATTAGAAAAGAATTTCTCGTTTTTAAAATAAAAGCGAAAATTGAGTTTTGAGAAAATAAATAAATCTAAAGAAAGAACAGTTACCTGAGAAATAAAAAATTGTTTTTTAGAATAAAGGACATATGGTCATCATATGTCTAACAAATGAAATATTAGTCTTACACAAAACATGAATGAAACATGACTGTCTAATGTATGTAATACATCAATATAGAATAGACCGGAACTAGTTGAGCCACTTTTTATTTAAACTATTATAACTTATCACACAATAGAATAATGACACAATGAGAATTATTTTAAAATTTTATGTTTATCTAGCTCAATAATTAAGTCTTCGTAAATTCTTAAGGGGATATTGGATTAACGAGCAAACTCTAACGAGAACGTTCACACATATGCACATTTAAATATACATAGATATATTTGTGTATACATACACACATATATTCTGCACACATATATTCTGCACCTCCTAAACTTCGCATAAATGATAGTGTACTCGGATAGTACTTCTCTGTTCATTTCTCCTATAAGCTTCCAAATGATGTTTCGGAGCTCTTAAAATATTCTTATATATTGAATAAATATGGATGGATAGTTTCTGCTTGAATACACTTGATATTATTTATATCAAGTGAATAAGTAACTTAGATAATAACAGCAAATTGTAATATAGAAATTTTTTTTGTTTTTTCATATCGTTTTATAGCTATTCATATTTATTTTAATATTTTCTCTCATTCTGAAAAAAAATTGTTTATTCAAATTATTCAACAAAAGTGAAGAAAATGGAAAAATCGACTAAATATATATATTCAGTCGATAAAATAGATGAGTCCAGCATCCTCTTAATATATTTTGTGAATAAGAAAAATGTTGAATACAAAGAGTCAGAGTTGCTCAATGTATCTTACCTATGAAACATTAAATTATAGGGATAGTTGAGTCATGAAGATAATTATCTAATAAAGTTATATATTACTAAGAAAAAGAATTGTTAGCAAAAGAATTATTAATAATATTTTAAAGTTTTTGTTTCATATAAAATCTGTTGCTAAATATTATAATAATTAAAAAAATATAAAATCTCTTATAAACAACAAAAATAAAAATAAATTTCTTACAAATTATAAATTATAAATTATAAATTATAAAAAAAAACAAAAATATACAAATCTCTTACAAATTATTAAAAAATAAAATTTAAATTTTTTACATATATACATATTTTACACATTTAAATTTAATCGTTATCATTGTTGCAATTAATGCAAAGAAATATTATAGCAGAAGTGCATTTAGAATGAGCCCAGCCTTGACAACCGTGACATTGGATCCACTCTTCTCCTGGCAAGCTCTCGGAATATGCTTCTCCACATTCAAGGCAATAATCTTCTTTGTCTTCACAGTTTGACAAATACAAAAGTTCTCTTTCTACTTCTTTTTTATCTTTTTCAATTTTTCTCTTTTTTCTTTGATTCTGATTTTCAGCAAGAGCAGTTTTTTCTGGGGTACTTGTTAAAATTATTGATTCCCTTTTCTTTCTTTCAACTTGAGTCTTCCTTGGTCCAGTCTTTGGAAAAGGTTTTATAATTTCAGGTGAAAATTCGATATTTTCTTTAGAATCAGAAGACACAGAATCATCTTTGAACGTAGAAGAATAATTATTACTTGCAGAACTTGTAGATATATTGTCTTCCTCTATTGTCTGCGTGCTCGGTTGTAATGCTGTTTGATCTTCAGGATGATCAGTAACACATGAAGAAGCAAAGTCACTATCAGTAAAAATTTGCCTGTTGTAGGGGAAGATTCCAGTCTTTTTAAACCCATCTATTATATTAAGAGTCGTAATAGCTAATGGAAGCGTTTCAGAAACTATTTTTGGTAGATCATATATAGTCATTGTCTTTCCTACATTGCTACGTAGCCATTCATCTTGAGCAGTAGCAAGATATTTCTTAAAAAGCCTAAAGACAGAAACATCAAGCGGCTGTAATCTGTGACTGCAGTATGGCGGAAAAGATAACATAACAACTCCGCTGTCTTCGGCCAAATCTATTATTTCAATTGTAAGATGGGATGAATGATTGTCTAACAAAAGTAATATTGGATCTTCTACTGAAGGTTTTACATATTTGATGAAATGCTTCATGAAAATATAAAATTCATCATTAGTCGCCCAACCACTGGCGTTTTCCATTTCTATGATATCTGATGGTCCATTTGATAGAAAATAATATTTCTTGCGAGGAAAGATAAACATTGATGGAACAGTGTTTCCTGATGCTGAGACAGCTGCTATCAATGTTACATTTGTATTACGTGCTGCTGAAATTATTGAACCTACATTGCGTTTACCTTTTGCTGCAACAGTTTTATTTGGTTTTAATACAGTTGAGATGCCAGTCTCATCGACGTTCCATATTTTTGAGGCAGTAAACTTGTATTTGTCCAGAATAAGGCCCAATTTGTCAAAAAAATCATTAACATTAGTCTTAGTAAAAGACATTGTACTAGTTGCTTCTGATCTTCTAATTGATAGTCCAGTATTTCTTTTCAGGAACGCACTTAACCAATCTGCACCTGTCATTTTGTTAATTTTCCAACTATCAGGATAACAAATGCGATATTTGACAGCGCAATCATAAGCAAGACAGCGAACATCTTTGGGAGTCAAACCAAAATAAATGTCAGAAATTTTTAGTAAATAATTTTTTAATTTTTCTTCTTGTTCTGTTGTAAAAACTTGCCTTGGAGCAGCATATCCCATTTTAGGACATTGTTCTTGAGTCTTCAGTTTGTTAACAAATCTAGTCAATGTCATTCTTGATATTCCAAAGTCGAAAGCGGCTGATCTCACACTCTGACCATTTTTTAATACAGCATTTGCAGCTGTCCGTATTTGTTCCTGAGTGGCAGAAGCTCTCTTTGTCTTTCGCTTATATGTACGCATACCCACTGTAAAACAAGAAAAAAAGCAATAATAATAAAAAGATTGTTTCCAATCTGAGTCTCGAAATTATTTTATATTAATAAAAATTCCAGAGAGAGAGAGAGAGAGAGAGAGAGAGAGAGAGAGAGAGAGAGAGAGAGTAGTAGTAGTAGTACGTACGTCGTACGTACGTAGAGAAGAGAGAGAGAGAGAGACATTTAAGGTGCATTCGCTGAGCTCTGTCAACACTATAAACGCAATGCTGTCAACACTGTTCATGAAATCAATAGCACGATAATGATAGCAAGCTCCATGAACATCATTATTGCAATTAAAAAATATTTCTTAACCTCTTTAGTATCTGACAAGAGAAAAAGTAATAGAAACTATGAAGTAAGATGAAAAAATTTAATATTAACTGCAATAACATTAATTGCGCAAGAATTATTAAATTTTTTATCTGGAAGTGACTAGAAGTAAACTAGAAGTAATTAAAAGAATTGTAGACATAGAAAGATGTCTACAGTGCAAAATTATGTAAAGAAAATAATAATTTATGCCAACAATTTATTAAATCAAGAATTAAAGCTCAAATCTTGATTAAATAATTATTTTTTAAGTTATTTGTCATTTCGGAGATGAAAATACATATTAAAATTATATTAATTGGTTAAATAAAGAAGGCAATAATTAATATATATTTTTATTTGCAAACACAAATGCGAAAAGCAAACTTAGCAAAAATATAATAAATGACATAGAGCAAATGCTAAACGTAACTGTCGTTAAAAATTAGAAATGGAACACGTTCATAGTTCAAAGATCCCAACAAGACTATAGGACAGCTGTTGGCATAGCGTTCACAATCACAGCAGTGTTCATAGAACTCGCAAACGTTAACTGTCACACTTGGAAGGAATAAGTTCGTAGCATGCAGTTATGATGTCACACACTATCATCAGTGACGTCATGAATGCACTTGATAGCGCTATCTTGTAGCTCCGCGAAGAATCTGTAGTGCTAATAGCGTCTTCATGAACACACACTTTAATGTAAAATCTTTGTTTATGCACAATCGACAGTCCACCTAACCTCTCCGGTTTTCGACTGCAGGCTTTGACTAACCTATCTAAAATTTTGACGACTTTTTTCCACCGGAAAGCCGTTCGGAGATTCGAAAGCCGGAACTGGCAACTATGTAAGAGAGGTTAATGGGAAAACTGACCCAACTAGCCCCAAAGTAATGTTGGCTGAAACATTTATTTATTAACTATAAAGCCGTAAATAAAATAGCTATTTGAACATTATAATTAAAAACTATACTAATGGCATATGTAAAAAATATCTTGTTTTTTATTAATAACTTTAATACTAACTTAATTAATAACTTCATAAACCAAAAAGAATAATCACCTGATAATTTTATTTTCACTGCCGAAAACAAATATCTAACCCTCTTTAACCATTAACGGCCGGGCGCAGACTAGCGTATGCAGCGCAGTACTCTGCATCTTCCCTTTCCTAAACAGGTATCGACATGTCCATACGTGCTACGGTTAATGAGATATTGGCATGTCCCAACTTGCCCCTATGCTCAACTAGCCCCGGTCTACCTTAAATTACTTTAATTTCGGATTAATTTTTTTATCTTTTTTAATTCTTAATTCTCTAAAATTAAAAATAAATTACTTAAACCGAGATTAAAGTTATTATAGAATCGTAATACAATTCGATCGATATTCTCACATGATTTTTAATGACGCGGTGACGCCACTGATTCGAAATTGATTTTTTTTTAAAGAAAAATATTAAAAGGAACGATATAAAATACATAAAATGATAAATGATTAAATAACTATAAATCTTCCGCACTAAAGCATACTATTTCTCTTTCAGCTATCGGAAAGAAGAGTGATTCATGTAATTCTTATTTGCAATTCACTTCCGACAATCCTTGCAAAACGAAATCTCTTTGTAAATCCGATGTCGCTTTTTAGGAAAAATTCAAAACCGTAATAAAATAGCAAATAAGACATGTGTGATATCTCTTTCCAAAAATTTTCAACGGGCGAAATTAAAGCTTCGCGTGCGCTTCAACGCTTTGAAATTTCAAAAATCCCAAGTCGAGTGAATCAGACCTTAACTTATAACTTCATTCTAAAATACCAGAATTTCAAAAACGAATCGTTTTCTTTTGTTAATTATCAGCAGGTGATGAGTCTTAAATATAAATGTCTTTATAATATACTTTTAATGTAAGTGTCTTTCAACATAAATCTTCCAGATTACATAACAAAATTTCTTAAATTTATAATGTATAATTGGTCACTTTGTTTTTTTCAGTGTTTTTATATTACTTTTCTAATTTTCCTTACAAAATTGAACGATGTGTTAAATGTATCCCACTTTCTTATTTCACGTAAATATAATACCCAATAAAAAAATTTTTATCCAAGAATGTATATATAAATATACAATGTACAAATATACATGTACAAATATATGTGAAATATGTCCATATATGTTCATAATAAAATTTTTGATTTAAGAAAAATAATAGTAATATAAAATAAAAATTTTACAAAGAAACCAATATGAATATATATATATATATATATATATATATAGACATATTTCATATATAATTATATATATTTACATATTTTTTATTTATATTTATATATGTCCTTATATGAAAAATTGTTTATCTTTGGATGCCTTTATTATCCTTTTTTTCTTAATTCTTCATCTAATATTATTCTATCTAATATTTTCATAATTCAAATATGAATCTTATACCGTCACTTGTATCATTATCAAAAGCAAATATTTATTAAAATGTAACGCATATCTTCTGACATCCCGTTTGTCTATCCGATTTCGTAATGCCCGGCAACGCGCTTCCGGTCTCGGAACCTGCGCGGAGCGACGTGATTACGCTAGGGAAGTCTCGGGGATAGTCCGCGGCCATGAAAGCAGTTTTGGAGGTCGCGTAGCCCAGTGTAGTCGTATATCAAGGACGTATTGGTGTCATAGATCATCTTTTGGCCAGTAGAACGCAAAGAAAACCAGCATAACGAAAAACGGTGACGCGATGGCTGTCGTCACCGAGTTGATCTCGCAGATCGCATTTGATGACTTTGTCGAGTGAGTAATCCGTATATTACATCGATGAAAACTTCATAACCTCTTCTTCGTACATTGCTCCCAAGTACAAGTTGAAAATACCGTAACCTCTATCATAGGAACTTAAAAAAAAATTACTTCTAAGTATTTATTATATGAGAATGATAATCTTTTTTTTCCTTTGATGGCAATTTCATTTTATTAAAAATATTTATTATAAAATATTTTTGTTGTATATTGGAAATATGTGAAAGATGAAAGATGAACATTTTCTGATTTTTTTGTTGTTTATACGAACGTGCGCTCATTGGTATATTTTTGTCACGTAAGGTCCAAGAATCTTTCCGTAATACACTTCTACGCAACCTGGCTTGAGCAATGCACTCAAATGGATGAAGTGCTCGAAGAGATGAACAAGTTGGAGGAGTACAAAGAAGTGAAATTCGCTAGACTTGAAGCAGAGACTATACCCGAAGTGTCTCTGAAGTGTGAAGTGGTGGTTGCGCCCACAATCATTTTGCTGCGGAATAGTCGTGTGGTAGATAGGGTGGACGGCGTCAAAGTTAATGAATTAACTGAGAAAATCAAATATCATATGAGCTATAAAGTAGAAGATCCTCCATACCACGATCCGATGAAACCAAGAGAATCTTTCGAGAGTAAATTGAAGGCGTTGATAAATCAAGCACCATGCATGCTGTTTATGAAGGGGAATCCCACAAATCCACGATGTGGCTTCTCCAGAACAATTGTTTCCATTCTAGATAATTACAATACAGACTACAAGTCGTTTGATATATTACAGGACAATGATGTTAGAGAAGGACTTAAAAAGTTTAGCAATTGGCCAACATATCCACAGTTATATATTAATGGAGAGCTAATTGGCGGTTTAGACATTGTGAATGAGATGAACGAATCAGGCGAGTTAGAAAGTTTGCTACCAAAAAAAGAATAATAATGCAAAGTAGATCGCTATCTTTTTAAATGGAAGTGTGTACTGTGTCAATTTTCAAGCGTAATTCTTACGCATACATAACGAGATATTTTTATTCTAAGCAACTGTTATTTTAAACATTAAAGTCTTTCAAAGTTTTTTCTAAAATTTCTTTTCAGTTTTTTTATATCAAAATGTTTTCTTAAAGTTATGTCTTGAAATGCAAAAAATTTAATCTTACAATAATTACCATACTAAAAATTTTGTTTCGAATAATTATAATTAATATTTTATTTTCAAATTGATATGTAAAATATAAAAAATATTCAATAAAAGAATATATATAAATTTTTCACTTATCTTACACATTTTATTTTCACTTATTCTATATATATATATATATATATATATATATATATATATATATATATATATATATATAATAATAAAATAAT